ATGATAGACTAGTACAACAAAGATTTTTAAGTACATTTAAGATGCCTAGACCAGGTGCTGTGGCTCACACCTGTAATCCCAGCACTTTGGGAGGCCGAGGTGGGTGGATCACCTGAGGTCAGGAGTTCAAGACCAGCCTGCCCAACATGGTGAAACCCTGCCTCTACTAAAAACACAAAAATTAGCTGGGTATGGTGGCAGGCACCTCTAATCCCAGCTACTCAAGAGGCTGAGGCAGGAGAGTCGCTTGAACCCGGGAGGCGGTGGTTGCAGTGAGCTGAGATCATGCCACTGCACTCCAGCCTCTATCTCAAAAAATAAAAATAAAAATAAAAAGATGCTTAAAGGCATAAATAAGGGGTACCATTCACTAAAATAACAAGAAACTGAAACAGAGATGGATGAAATATAACTATGTCTGAAAAAAAGATATCTTTGCCAAAAAAAACTAGTCATTGAAGTTACTAAACTCAATATACAGGATAAATTCTAGACTTTGCCCTGTCAGAGAAGGCAAGGGAATTAGAAGATGATGCTGAGAATATTACTATGGACAACACTCACAGAAAAAGATAAGAAATATAAATGAGCAATTGGGAGAAATGGAGAATTGACCACAGGCTCTACAGTATACCTTCCTGGAATTTAGAGGTTTATTTACGAGTGTATTTGAGAGGTTTCAGAAGAAGAGAATGGAGGAAATGGTAGAGAAGTAATATTTGAAGCTGTAATAGCTGAGAATCTTCCAGAATTGAAGAAGGATGTGAGTCTTTAAGGAAATGTGCTCCCAAGAGAAATTTCAAACATCTGGGAAGGAAAGAAAGGCCTGCATTGAGCAATTGATATTCTCTACAGCTCAGCTTTGAGAAGCTTCGGCTGATTAAAATGAGCCTTTTCTGTTTTTCACTGGAAACCACCAAAACAGAAATGTAATGTGTTGTATATACTAAACCATGCCTCTTGAACAAGGGTACTTATAAATAAATCATAAAAGAAGAGCCTTGTGGACAACTAAACCCACAGGATCAAGACACCAAGGAAGATCTCTCTAGAAAAGGCAGTCTCCTGTCAGCACTTTCGTGAAAAATAGGTGGGAAGACAATAATAGCTTATTGTACTATCCTGAGGTCCATGTCTAAAAACTGTTTTCAAAAGGAACACCATGGATGACCCAATCTGGTAGAAAGAAAAATTTGAATAGGATTTTACATAAAAAGTGTTGCCAGTTAGAACATTTTGTTGAAGTTTTCTTTTAATGAAGAGGGAAAAATAGAAAGTAATTCCTATGGAATGAGACCTTGTGAACATTGGATACTGCTTCAAGTTCACAGAAACATTGAACCGATTGCCAGTTGTCAGAAATTAGATTTAATTAATGTGGACAGTTACATACATTGGTGCACACCCAGAGGACCCGTGTGCAGAATCTGACTGAAGGTATACTTACTTTGATGAATCTCTTCTCATCATTGCTTTGTCAGATCAGATTGCTATGAAATAAACTATACAAACAACTACCCTTGAAGACTGATAGCAATAGGATTTCAATCAGTACAGATAGGAGATTCTATTTCTGTAGATGAAAAAGATCATACATTGATTTTCTGCATGACTTTAAATTCCTGGAAACCTTGTAATGTTAGGTACTGGGTAGAATGAAAAAAAATGAAGCAAAACAAAGAAAAAAACAAGAGAAGATTGGGTTTTATTTCTGCTTCAGTGTGGAGATCCAGCCTTTTGAAACTGAGCATTTTGGAAGACATGCCGTCCCCTGTGGAATGTTCATTCCGAGTATGGGACAACAGAAAATACTTAGGAGACCTGGTCATGAGGTGATCTTGCTTTCTCAAACTGGACAATGGGAAAACTCTTCTTGGCTACTCACTACTTACATTTCGTGTCTTTTCTCATTGATATAGATCTCCCATATTTGTGGATAGGAATTTCTCTCACCTGATGAAATATCATCTGTGAACAACAGAAATATGTCATCTTATTTTGGTATTTGTCACAACCAGAAGGAGGATGTCAAGAGTTGTAATCAGTCACTGGGTATCAAATATCAGAAGTGTCCTCAATTGGAATTGTATTCTCAGTAAATCCTAAAGCATTTGGGACCTTCACATGTGCTAATACTATTTATATTTATTTGGACATTAACCAAATATAACCAAAAGAAAGTGGAATAGCCATAGAAACCTTTAAATGGAACAAAATTTATGGCAATAAACATTATTAGGAACAAATAGTATACTACATAGAAACAGTACAAGAACAGTCAGGATCTTTTGTGCATCTAACTACATAGGTCCAGAAATATAAAAAGTGAATTGTGATAGAATTAAAAGGAGAAACTAACAAATCCATAATTATATTTCAACACTCCTCTAACAAAAATTGATAGCTACAAATAATCAAAAATTAGTAAAGATATAGACAACTTTAACGTTAAACAAAAGCAGCACACTATGTATTTAGAGACTCCGTCTTTCCAATGGAAAAATACGCATTGTTTCAAGTACTCAGTGAACATTTTTAGAAAGTGACTATGAACTAGGTCACAAAAAGCAGTATTGCTAAATTTCAAAGGATCAGTATCATACAGGTATTCTCTGATTGAAATGCAATTAAATTAGAAATGCACTAAGAAGTGGAAATGGAAATATAACCACTGTGCTCCTAAATGACTATGTGTTAAGTTAAAAAAAAAAAAATCACCGTAAGAATTACAAAACATAAGGCACTGAATTGAATCAATTGATGTATATAAAAACTTTTGGTATATAATTAAAGCAGTACCAAGGAAGAAATATATAACCCTACGTGTGTTCATTAAAAATAAAAAATAAATGACTTAATCATCCAACCTGTAAAGCAAGAGGGAAAAAAAAGAGTGACAAGTAAAACATTATTAATGGACATAAAATGAGACCACAGTAAGTAAGGAGCTTCACTGCATTCTTGGATGTGAAGACTCAATTATTATGAACTTAGTTCTTCCCAGTTTAACCTATGAATTCAGTGTAATTCAAACTCAAAATTTCAACAAGCATTTTCATAAAAATCAGAAAAATAGACACTAAAATCATGGAGAAAATTAAAGGGGTCAGAATAGTCAAGACAATTTTGAGGAAAACCAAAGTGGGCTGAGAAGGCCTATCAGACATCAATTGATTTAAAATTGGAGAGTGGGATCTACACAGGGATATACAGATAGAACCACAGACTAGAATAGAGAGCTCCGAGTATTTATGGACACTTGATGTTTTGCAGAGGCATCGTTAGAAATCAGGGGGAAATAGAGGGACTATACAATGAATGAGATTGGCTTCATAGTTTATCCATGGGGGAAAAGTAAAATTAGATCGCATGTTCACAGCAAGCATCAAAATTGATTCTGGGTAAAGTCCTAAATGTGAAAAACCAAATTTTAAACTTTAAAAATGTAGGTGTAAGAAAAGATTTTCGTGAACAAAACATCAAAAGCAGAGAACATAGAGGGATATGTTAAAATGTACATATTTTATACCATAGGATGCCATAAACAAAGTTAAAGATAAGCTACACTAAGATAAGGGTAGGAGATCATATTTGCCATGCACATAACTAACAGTGGATTAGCATCTAGAACATATCCAAAACTTTAATAAGAAAAAGACAATCCAGCAGGAAAATGGGTAAAGGAAGCATGAAAAGCCAGTTAACATGGAAGAAGTTTAACCTCACCAGTAATCAGGGATGTATGTGCAAATTAAAATGCACCCATCAGGTTAGCTAAAACTTAAATGTCTGATAACACCAAGTATTTGATGAGGAGGTGGGTCAAATGGAAAACCTTATTCACTACTGAAAAGAGAGTAAATTGGTAAAACCACCGATTTGTCACCCAGAGCAATTCAGTGACATGTAGCAATGTTGAAGATGTTGCTAAGATCCAACAATTCCACATCAAACTATATTCTGTAAAGAATCTCTTAAACAGGTATCCAAGGAGACAGGTATATAAAAGAAGTTCAATGCATCATTGTTTATAACAGTGAAAAGTTATAAACAACCTAAATGTCCATGGACAGGAAAATGTTGGCATATTCAAGCAACAGAATAGTAATACCTTACAGCAGTTCAAATAGCAAACTATTATGTATCGACCTGGAGAAATCTCCAAAATGGTGTTGAAGGCAAAAAGCAACTCTTAGAATGGTATGTATATTCTTAAACATGAAGTTCTTAAATTTAAAGTTTAAGAACGTGCAAAATAATGCCATTAGATTGAATCACATAAAATGGGTGGTTCTGTAGGTGAAAGAAAAATACAGGCAAACATCAGCATCTTTAAGTTCAACCTAATATTTGTCTATACATTCATGGTAACACTGGGCATGAAATTCAGTGTGGCATTATCTCCTTGAGGGCAGTGGGGAGGAGAGAATGGTATGGCGTTGAGGCGGGCATGTGAGGGAGCTTCTGCTTTGGCTGTTATCCTTTCTTTCTTCAAAAAACTTTTGAAGAAAATACAGCAAATGATAAACTTATCAAGGTGAGGTGGTAGGAACATGGTTATATGTACTCCATTCTTATACATTTCTGTTGAAAATATTTGCTAATGTTTAAAGCAAACCAAAGTGTTGTAGAGGTATAAAATTTTTAATCTCATGACATTATAAAGAAATACTTACAAAGTGATTAAATCCTTTATTGCTTACTTATCTGAACATAGCACTCATGAGGCTTTTAGCATAACATAAAAAAATTGAAAAGCATGGCTCCCTTCACACACCAGGCAAAAGCTTCACATTTTGTTTTGTTCTTTTAGCACTGGTAAGATTGTCATCATTAAAACCATTCATTAGTGCCTCTCTTTTGCTTGCTGTTCTTTGGTGGCAGTCAGATGCATCTATCTACCATGGTATATAAAATTTGGTGATGATATTCAAATTACTTTTTTTCTTCTTTTTCTTTTTCTTTTTTTTTTTTCTTTTTGACTTCTTTGATGCCAATAGGAATCTGCAAGCAGAATATGACCGTCTAAAGCAGCAGCACGAACATAAAGGCCTGTCCCCACTGCCGTCCCCTCCTGAAATGATGCCCACCTCTCCCCAGAGTCCCCGGGATGCTGAGCTCATTGCTGAGGCCAAGCTACTCCGTCAACACAAAGGCCGCCTGGAAGCCAGGATGCAAATCCTGGAAGACCACAATAAACAGCTGGAGTCACAGTTACATAGGCTAAGGCAGCTGCTGGAGCAAGTGAGGAGAGAGATGGGATTTTTACAAACATTCATTTTCCCTCTTGAACAAAACTAAACCGCAGAGAGCACTTTTTGTAGGTGTAACAAGCGTCAATTCTTAAGTGCTTGGTATGTGCCTGGCAAAGTGATAGGTATCAAAGGATAAAAGTAGAGGAGATAGAAAAACTAGTGTGTCTTTTTTATGTTTGTTAAATATTGTTTCCTACCAAAGTGGTTTTTTCTTGACCAATTTGAAATACATCTTGGGGAAAAGAAACGCCAAAAGGTTTCCACTAGTTCTCTAAAAGTGAATATTTCACTTCTTGAAATGGAACTATTTCATTTGCAATTAGTTATATTTTCTGGTATACCTTTGTGTTTTTTTCTCCTAATCCCTAACATTTAGTTCTTTAAGCCTCCATTGAAAACCTAGCAAGATACTGCATCGCCAGAAGACCTACCTGGACATAGTTCTGGCTTTCTGGGAATTTTACATTGTGAATTATGTTCTATCTTGTTACTTAATACTTCACAAAGATACGAATTTTCCACTACAGTTTTGAGTTCTCACATAGTGTCATCATTCTCACATGACCTTCTAAATCTTCCAGTTATTTAATGTAATGATTTATAGTCTCATTCCAGTGTAGCTCTAATTTTTTCTCAAATTTATAAGGGAGCACAGTTCAGATACAAAGACAGTATCCATGGATTATATCAACAGTGAAATATCCCAAATTAATCTTTGGGAGGGCTTCTAAAGTAGGAAGGGTCAAAATTTATGAGTCCTGAGTGTCTTTAATATTTTCATATTTATACATTTGTATGTTTATTGTGAAAAGTAATTCTGTTTTCTTTTGGATGACTTAGCCCCAGGCAGAGGCGAAAGTGAATGGCACAACGGTGTCCTCTCCTTCTACCTCTCTCCAGAGGTCCGACAGCAGTCAGCCTATGCTGCTCCGAGTGGTTGGCAGTCAAACTTCGGACTCCATGGGTAAGTGTCTTAGCTACTCTCAGATTTTGTTATCTGAAGAAAGGTAGAGTCACATTATAGTGACATAAATGTTTGGCCATAGGTGTTTGACTCATTTTGGTATCAGGGGGCCACTGAAAATCATATACCAGGTGAAAAAAATCTAAAAAGAAAATTCTAAAAAGATGTATTCTGGCAGCTCTATCTGGCCCACAGAAAACTAGTATAGGTGAGAAGACCAGTTAGGAGGCAGTTGCCAAGGCCAAGATTCGTGAGTTCTGAGGGCCTGCACTTGAGAGATGTGGGAGGAGAGGACTGTGACACTATTCTATAAAAATAGACTTGCCAGGGGACCGGGCGTGGAGGCTCACGCCTGTAATCTCAGCACTTTGGGAGGGTGCGGTGGGCAGATCACAAGGTTAGGAGTTGAAGAACAGCCCAGCCAATATGGTGAAACCCTGTCTCTACTAAAAATACAAAAATTAGCCAGGCATGGTGGCATGCGCCTGTAGTCCCAGCTACTCAGGAGGCTGAGGCAGGACAATCACTTGAGCCCAGAAGGTGGAGGTTGCAGTGAGCCAAGATGGCATCACTGCACTCCAGCCTGGGCGACAGAGCGAGACTCTGTCTCCAAAAAAAAAAAAAAAAAAAAAAAAAAAAGAGTTCCCAGGGTCTGGGGACTGACTGCAAATTTTACGGAGAGGAATGAAGGGAGAGGATTTGGTTGGAAGAAGATAGTGAAACTTTTGATTGTGGACATAATGTGTTTGAGAAACTGACAGGTCTTCTAAGTCATGTCCCAAAAGAAATTAAGATACAGATCTATACCTGAAGTAAGAGGGCAGACTAGAAAGACTTGAGAATGAGTTTCATAGAATTGATTGCTGAAGGGTGTGAGATGAGAAATCTATAAAATCTATAACAGGTGCTTCGATCCAGTGCCTTGGGGAAGACCTCCATTTGGGTGATGGAATAGTAAAGGATGGGTAAGTAGGGAGGTTCAAGGAAGATGTGATGACAAGGTGAAATGCTAAAGAGAGCTCAATGGAAATTAAAATAAATCACAGTCCATTGGGTCACTATAAATGCATTGGGTAATTTTGAGAAACCATTTTAGGCTAAGAGAAGGGAAGGTGGAAAACTTCTGTTGTTTCAATGAAATGAAAGACTAGGTAATCTTAAAATGAATGAGGATTAAGGAAAGTGAAGACAATTTTGAAACATTACCAAGTAAGAAGGAAGCCTTTGGCGGAAGTTGGATGAATTTGTTGAGGAAATGGTCAACATGGTCTGTTCTCATTCTTAGCAATGTTCTCTGCCTAGGACTAGGTTCTAAGAAAGGTGGAACTGATAAGGCATAAATGATCAAAGGTCAAAACGAGAGTAGGGCATTTTACAGTGGTAATGAATGGCTAGGACAGGGGTTGCTAGCCAGCTGCTCATTGGTTTTTCCTGCTGTGTCTGGCTAGACAACAGAGGGTTTTATGAAGGCCACAAATACTTGGTCCCCCTCCCTCATTTCTCTTTCTCTGTAAAGGCCCAGTATGAGTCAGCTCCATCCTGTATCCTTACTTTTCCCTGGGTCCTAAACTGGTTATACTTGGTCCTCTCAATCTTACCTCACGGAATAGAAAAGACCTGTGACTCATTGATTCTGTACACTTACAGCTCTATTGCCTGATATGATGGTGCGTTCAGGAATTCATTTCATACTTGAGCTCCTCCGTGAGGGTAGAATAAAGAGAGGCAAAGTGCCTTAACCAAAATGGATAGGACAGAAAGGAAAAGTCAAGGGTGTGGGTGAGTTTTATGGTGAAAAATCTGGAGCTCAGAGTCAGGAAAATTCAAAAGTTGGATATCATGGAAGTAAAATACTTTCAAGCAATTTATACATCTAAGATGGTGCCTCCCAGTGAGCTGCTGAAGATTTTACTTGGAGATCACTGACGGGTAAGGAGTGCAGTTCATGGAGTTGATGAGACCAACGTTGCGGAGCTTATCAGCAGAGGGGTGAAGTCCTTATCATGATGACAGTGGTAGATCAGGATGGAAAAGATGTTGAAGAAGATGGATGAGGGCTCTGAGGAGGTGAGCATTTCTGAGGAAAGAGACAGGGTGGTTGAAATAAATGTGATGAAGTTCAAGAACCTGGAGCAGTGGGAAGAGGCACATCCTCCTCTGGAGAAGCCAAACCTTGTAGGAAAGCCAGGTTTTGATTTTTTTGAGAAGGAAAAGGATATGTTTGAGGTTGTTTTCCTGAATTTACTACAGCTCCATGATTTAAGGCAACCTCTGTGTCACATTCTCTCTCTCCACCTGAGATCTAACTATAGCTAATAAACTGTTGGGATTGTAAATGGTAACACACTACATGAAAAACTATTGTATGCATTTGCAAAGTCGGTAAATTCTGAAAACAACTGAGCTTTGGTACCTCTTGTTTTTTTCCTACTTCAGGATTTTCCCCCATTTTTAAGTAAAGCATATGAAACTAAGTCAAATATTTTAGTGGTGAGATTCAGAGCCCTGGGTGCTTAGAAGCATTGATTATTTAGGTTGTTAACAATGGGGATTAGGCAGCATACCCATTAAAGCACCCAAATTAAAATGCACATTAGGATGTGGACCTGATGATCTGTGGAGCTAAAAAGATCATGATAGAACTGGATACCAGGACAAAAGTGCTATATTCCAATGGCTGAGTTAAGCTAAGAGATAACTTGCTGGTATAAAATGAATAAGCTGTGTGGTTAAATTTGTCCTCTGAAAGAAAAGACTGAATTCAAAGGTACTTTTTCTTGAACTGTGTATTAGTCTGTTTTCACATGGCTATAAAGAACTACCTGAGACTGGGTAATTTATGAAGAAAAGAAGTTTATTGCCTCAATTCCACATGGCTGGGGAGGCCTCAGGAAACTTACAATCATGGGGGAAGGTGAAGGGGAAGCAAGGCCAGTGCTACATAGCGGCAGGAGAGAGACAACAAGGGGGGAACTGCCACACTTTTAAACCATCAGATCTTACACGAACTCACTATCATGAGAACAGCATGGGGGAAACCGCCCCCATGATCCAATCACCTCCCACCGGATCCCTCCCACAGCACATGGGGATTACAAATTCAACATGAGATTTGGGTGGAGACACAGAACCAAACCATATCAAACTGCATAAGCTAACTTCATTTAAAAAGGGAAAAAACCTTACCGTCTTCTTGAAGGATGCACACAGGTGTTTAAATAAATGCAATGTGTATCCTCGTGCTTTGAAGGTTTGAGATATAAGGCTGGGATTTGCTGAACCACATTCTGGATAGAGCTGCATTCTTTAAATATACATCCCCGACGACTGATTTTCTTTTAAGTGATACATGAGACAAGTCATACTAGGTGATGTGTCTAAAGAGTCAACATATTTCCTCAAGCCATGAAATACTTATCACTGAGTCTCTATGTACCATTTGTGTTCTGTACAGTTCTTACTGAGACAATGTGCTAATGAAACTTACATTCTATTGGAGGAAGCAAATACAGAACAAAATGGAAATTAACAATGTTTATCCTCTATTGGCTCTCATGGGCTCCATACACAAATCTATCATGTCCGAACAACTCCTTATCTCTGATGACTCCTAACTTTCCACCAGATTACTGTTTTTTGAAGCATTTTATATTTTGTTTATTTAAAAAGTAAACTGTTCCTTTGCTTTTTAAAAAATAAAATTTATCATGTACATTTGAGGTTTATGACATAATGGCTCCCTAGCTTTTTATTTAGAACAATTTCAAACTTACGGCAAAATTGCAATTAATTCAACAGTTTGCCACATTTGCTTTATATCTATTTATGTACTTTTACATTCATGTGTTGTTAAATGGATTGCATATATTTAGATTAACATGTATATCTGTATTTTAATGTATCTTTATATACTGTATGTGCTTATATTTTATGTGCATATTTAATCATATTCATGTGTATATACAGTTTGTTGATTTTTTTCACTGATCCACTCAGTGGTTATGTTTCATACATAACACTTCACCCCGAAACACTTGAACATGTGTCTTCTAAAATGAAAGATATTCTTACATAAGCACAGTTATTACACTCAAAAAAGAACAATACTGTTATCTAATGTAGAACTTCAAATGCCTCCAATTCTGCCAATTAATATTCTTTATAGCGATATTTTTCATTCAGGATCAATGAAGGCACAGCTTTGCATTTTGTTATGTCCCTGTAGTCTCCTTTAATCTGAAGCACTTTCCCAGCCTCTTTAAATCTTTCATGACATTGATATATTAGAAGAGGTCAGGCTAGATGTTTTGTAGAATGTCCCCCAATTTGAATTTGTCTGCTTGAATCCAAGTGATTGGGTTCAGGTTAAATGTTTTATGCCAGATTACCATATAGGTAAGGTATCCTCAGTATATCACATCAAGGTTTTCCTCAAGATTCTCCATCCCCTTCACCCTTCTTCACTCTCCCTGGGCACTCCTTCCATTCTTTGGCTTCTGCTATGTTGACAACTCTTAAGATTTCCAGCCCAGACCTCCCACCTGAGCATCTTCTGGATAAAATTGTAAATAAAAATAGAGCCCAATCTGAAATCATGATCAACCTTTGGAACATCTCTTCCAATTTCCCAATCTATAAAAAGTCATTTTCTACACATTCTTCCTTTACCTGCCTTCCTTAGCTATGTTCCACCACCATCAATCCGGTCACCAAGGTCAGTCTGTTTTGCTACTTATAAAAAAGAACAAAATTTTTCAATTCAGCTACTTCTACCCAAATTTAGTCCTCATCATGTATTACCTGAACAGACAATATGAATACTTTCCTAATTGGTTCCTCTGCCTTTGGTCTCTCTCCCTTTCTAGGCTATCTTCCAGATACTTCAGTTCCTCTTCTGCCATTCAAATGGTATCATATTATTCCCCTCTGTAAGCATTTTATGCCTTCTGTTTGACAACAGAATAAATAAATGTGCTCTTTTGCCTTGAGTACATTATGTT